ATTTTATTCTTCATTTCTTTATTATTTCTTTAAATTTATTTTTCTACTTTCTACTTTATTTTTATTCTTTCATCTATCACTTTGTTGTGTTTTAAATTGATTAGTTTATTATTTATTCTTTAAATTTAATATTGTTTGTTTTCCTATTTAATGTGTAAATATTGTTTATAATAATTTATTTTAATTATTGAAATGATTATGAAATTAATGTTCGTGTTTTATTTCTATATTTTTATCTTATCATTCTTTTATTTGCTTATATTATGTTTTATTTCTTTTATTGTTCTTCTATTTCATCTTTAAACTATTTTATAATGATTATTATTTCATACTTTCGTTTATTTCTTTATTTCTGTCTTATTTGTTTTTCTATTTATTCTTTTATTGTTATTTCATTTCATTCAACTTATTTTGAATTATTCTTTTTCTCTTCTTTATTTATCTTCTATCATTATTTTTCGTTTATTCTTTGTTTATTTAGTGATTAATGTTTTGAATTATCAAAATAGAAAATAAATAAGGTATGAAATAGTGAATATACAAGTTATGATGATATAATGGAGATAAATAATGAATGAAAATGTTTTGATTTGAATGTGTTAATTATGATTTGTCTTCATGTCATTTCTATTTATTTTTGATATAACTATTATGTAATTTTATTATAGTATGAAAGATATTTTAATTCATTAACTAAATACATAAATTATATTGTTTAAGATTGAAAAGAAATAATAAAAACATTTGTTTATTTGTTATGTAATTATATAAATATTTATGAATATCAAATTATGTCATAAATATGAATATATTAATATTAATAATAATCAACTGAAATCAATTCATGAAATTAATACATTTTATACGAATTGAACATGTTAATAATTACATCAATTAAGAGAATAAATGATGTACTATTTGTAATGATAAAATAAAATGAATATATAATAATAAATTATAATGTAAATAAAAAGATAAATGAATTAATAAATGAATATTCAAATATTGAGAATAACTAAAATAAAATATAAAATAAATATAATGAATGAAGCAACGGAGAATAAATGTCAAATAGAATTAAACAACAATAAAAATAATAAAAACAAAAGAAGAATAGAAAAATAATGAAATAATCAATTTATTTAAATATGAAATAATCAGTAAAAGTGAATATTTATAAAAGAATAACCTTTATATAGAAGATAAAACAAATGGAAATAATAAATGAGCAACGTATTATAAAACAATTTGAAATGATAATCCAAGATATAACAAATAATGAACATGAAAGAATAATTAAATAATAACAGAATAAATGAGATGTAAAGTGTATGAATGTAAAAATACATTATGAACGGTCTGTTCAATTGAATGAAATAGTCTCAAATGAACAAAATGGAGTAGAATAATCAATATTTCATGAAACACAATTTAATACATTTTCATTTTAGATTTAATAAAAAAAAAGAATAAAAGTTAAAATCCAAATAATTCCAATTTCAATAAACCAATTCCATTTTTAATAAAAGTCATTATTAAAATAATTAAAAAACACTAATTAATAGTTTATGAACTATTAATATAAATAAAATTATTAGTTTTAAATTAAATATAAAACACTCCAACACAATGGAAAACCAAGAAAATATCAAAACAGTAACACAATCAGTTTCAGAGCTTCTTCATTTAGACAAATATCGTACAGAGTTAGAAAAGATAATACAAAACCAAGAATTAAGAATTAGTAGCTTAGAGACTAGTACGGAATTAAGAATTAGTAGCTTAGAGACTAACATGGAATTAATGTTAACAAAAAACACAATAGTGCAAGAGATTTCTAATACTGTTAATGGGAGTGAAGAAGAAGTTAGTGAACAACTAAGAAGAATAAAAGAAGAGAATGAAAGAACAAGAAAAGAACTTGAAAGGAATGAAATTCAAATAGAAACCAATACATTAAATATAGAAGTACAAAGGTATTTAATAGAGGAAATGAAGAAAAAAATGAATGGTTGCACAGTTAATGAAGAAGTTATAAAAGAATTGATACAACAAGAATTTACAAAGAAATATCTTCAGAAGATAAAAGATGAAATAGAAAAAAACAAGAAAGAAAACAGCAATCCACCCGACAACAATCCAATGAAAGAACAACTTGAAAATAATCCAATAAATAAACCAAATAACACTGTAGCAAAACAACCACACAATGTTCCAATTATTTATCCAATAGAAAGAACACTTGATACAAAATATATAAAACAACTAGAAGAATGGACAAATAGAAAAGTATTCAATATACTATTTGATTCAGATAAAGATGATTGGAATATTAATACATCGGTATTTAAACAAAGAATAATGAATAAAGAACATCTAATAATTATTATTGAAGATGAAGAAGGAAATAAATTTGGAGGGTATGTTAATTCTCGAATTAATAGAGTTGAAAGTTGTATATATGATTCAAAATCATTTGTATTTTCATTAGAATCAAATGGAAGAATGAAAGGAATGATGAAATTTGATATTAAACAACCACGATTTGCATTTTGGTTAGACAATCAATCAAGTGATTGCTTGTTTGGAATTGGATTTAGTGATATTCGTGTTTATAAAGAAAATGATAAAACAAAATCATTTTGTATTCAACAATATTCATATGAATATGAAGGAATATCAAATACACTTTGTGGAAAACTATATCCAGATCGTTTCACACCAAAACGAATCATAGTAATTGAAATGAAATGATTCAATCTTGATTAATTGAAAATGAACTAAAAAAGAATAAAAACAAATCAATGAAGAATATGAACATTTTGTTCATCTGCCAATGAATGAAATGGTGAAATAAAAATTTACATAATTCAATGTTGATTTATTTTATTTCATTTAATGAAATATTCACACTTAATGAGGTGTTTTTAATAAATAAGAAAAGAAATAAGAATGAAATAGAAATAGAAATAAAATGAATAAACAATTTATTTGTATCATTTCCTTGAATTAATTCATTATGAATCAAATGAATAAAATAATAGAAATAAGAATAAACAAATAAAGAAATGATAAAATACATCAACATATTTATGTTATTATTTCTTATTCCTTTACTTTTATGACTTATCATCACTAATATAAAAAACTCCCATATGAAACAGTGTTCCAATATAAAGACATTACTATGATATTGAACAAACAAATAATGCATAAAAGTGAATGACAATATCACAAAAGACCAGATATATATGTATTAGATAAAAAGAATAAAACTAGTCTATTATTTGATATGACTATTGTATTATCACAATATTAATTGAGACTATTTGAAGAAAAAAAATATGTATAAGGAATTAAAGAATATGCCTAATGAAAATAGAAAAATTAAAAGATGTCAAAATAAATCCAGTAGTAATTTCAATAAATGGATTAATAAATAAAGAAAGTATCAGAATAATTAAAGAAATAAAAAATGACATTGACATCGAGAAAGAAATTAAAACCATTGTAATTAAAAACATGATTGATGTAATAAAATACTGCTTTTATCACAATCAAACATACTCTGTAGAGTTGCTAGAAGTTGACTCATTGACAGGATTAATTGAAAATGAATAAAGAAGCAATAGAAAATAAAATAATAAATACTTAATTAATTGCTTTATTAGTTTTTTAAAGAAATAGAAAATACAAATAATATAATAAATAATATAATAGAATATTGTAAGAACTGAAAAAAAGAGAAAAAACAAGAAATAAAGGAAAAAAATGTCTATATCAAACGGAATTGATTTTAAACAACTTAATGAACGATTATTAGAAAGAAAGTCTATTAGAACATATGGAGATAAATACCCCACAAATGAACAAGTTAAAGAAATAGAAACATTTATAAAAACATTAAATGAAATAGAAACACCATTTAAAGGACAAGTTAGACTTTGTTTACAAACAGAAGATTTTAGTTTTATTAAAACGTTTGGATTTATTACAGGAAGTAAATATTGGATATATGGAGTTATTCCATTAAATAATGTTTCAGCATTAAAACAGTTTGGATATTTATTTCAATTATTGGTATTGAAATGTACTTCATTGGGTTTATCTACAGTTTGGCTTGGTGGTACTTTTACTGTTTCTGCATTTAATGTTCTTCAATATGATAAAAATAAAGAATTTATTCCTTGTGTTTCTCCTGTTGGTTTTAATGGAAATGGAAATGAATTTCTTGCTCGTACAATTGGTTCTAGAAATCGTAAACTTTGGAATGAATTGTTTTATTGGAATTCTTTTAATACTCCTTTAACAAAAGAATTACTTCAATCTCCTTTTAATGAAAATATTTTTGAAAGTATTCGATGGGCTCCTTCAGCTCGTAATCTTCAAGAATGGAGAATTGTTTTAACTGATCAAAATCAACTTCATTTCTTTACTATTGATAGTTCTTGGAAAGAAATTGATCTTGGGATTTGTGTTGCTCAAGCTACTGTTGTATTAGAAGCAAATGATATTAAAGGAGAATGGATAGTTTTAGATTCTCATGAATTAATAAATTCTCTTCATGCAACAGACTTGCAATACGTCATTTCTTTTATTACACAAAAATAAATTAACGAAGTAACTTCATTTAATTCAATTTTTTGTTGAAAAAATTGTTTGAAATTCTATTTATTTTTAAATTTTATTTAGGTTTTATTTAATTTTCTAAGAGAGAAAAAATATTCTTTCATTCTAGTTGAATAAGTGATTATAAAATTAGTAAAAATGTTGGTAAATTTTAACAAAATTCTATTAAATTTTCTCTTGTTTTTTTCCATTAGACACAATTTAGAAATATTGTAAATTGTTAGTGAATAAGAATATAAATATATTCATTATTATTTTTATTTCCTAAATAAATCATATTTCTTAACTAACAATCCATTTGAAAAAAACATAATTTTCGACTTTTTAGAATAAAAAAGTTCGAAGATAGAAGTTAGTAAAATGATTTAAGTGGTCAGGTTTACAAAATTAAAATTAGAATAAAAAACCATCTAATTTACAATTTTATTCAAGAATACATTTCTCTTTTATTTCTTCTTCCCAAAATTGGTGAAGTGTTTCATCACCTTGTTTGATAAAGAAACTCTTTTTTGTTTCAACTAGAGAAAGTAAATAATTATTAATTTTGTTTCCTAATTGATGGATTTGCTTACAATCAAGCAATAATTTATTTTTATAAAACACTCTATTGATTCTTTCTAATCGAATTGTTTTAGAAGTAATTTTAGCAAGTTTTGATTCAAAGAATAATCCTTTTTCTCGAAGAAGATCAATGAGTAAATTTTGAATGAAATAAATTTTATTTTTGGTCATTCTTCTTTGTAAAGTCTTTCTTTTAAGTTG